TAGAGGGAGAGGCCGGAAGCATAGTCAGAGGAGAGCGAAGGTCCGATAAATTGAAGGAGTCATCGAGCCCCTCAGTACCTGAAGCGGGTGAGGAAACAGCACCGGCAAGAGTACAGAGGCATGAGGAGTGTCTGAAGAGTGGTCCAAAGACGAGGCGGGGTCAGAACGGGGTGCGGTATCAAGAAGGGGCCCGGGGTAGGAGGTTCATGGACTAGGGCTGCCATGTTAGGTTACTTCTTTCTCTTTGTTTTTAAGAAAAAAAAGAAAGAAGAAAAGAAAATAAAAATAAAAAAAAAAGAATAAAAAAAAGGGGGACCGGGGAGGGATAGTTCCTAGGAGGAATGAAAGGGCCAGAAATCTCCCTCCGCGCCCAAGAGGACCTCAGCACCGCAAGTAGCGCAGATGCTGCATGGAACCCGTACCATACCCTACCCATCATGCTAGTAAACTAACAATCCGGGATAGCAACCTCACATCTGCCGAGCTAAACCCTTGGGGGACAAAAGAGAGGGCGGCCGGATATCCGCCACAAAGCATACCTCCTTCGGCCACCACCCCCGGAATCCGAAAGGTGGCTTCCAGAGATACACCCGTCGCCCAAAAGACACCCAAAGCTACTCCGGGATACCGGAGAGGGATCGGGACATCCCCAAGCGATCCAGATTCCATGGCAAACTACACCACCGCCAAGAACCTCAACGGAATGGGATGGACCCTGGTATCCTTTCCCCTACCTAGGAACTAGCGCGCCTGTGGGAGAAATCCCAAAGGCCGAAAAGAGGAAGGGCAAAAGGGAGGGGTGGGGAGGAGGAGGAGGAAAGGAAAAAGGGGAGGATGGGGAGGAGGAGGATGGGAGGATGGGAAGGGGAGGGGAGATTGGGGGGTAATTAGGTTCGGTCTGAGGAAGAAGACCAACAGGTCTAATTCCTCAGACCAAGAGCCTCTTCACCACGCCAAGGAGCCCCCCTTGAAGAGGAGTAATACTAGTGAAATGGCTAAGAATTTGGTCGACTGGAATAATGTATTGGCCTAAAATTGGAGTCAAAGTCGGCAAAATCACCGATTAGTAAATATCGCTGACACATCAAAATTCGCGAGAGCATAATTTCGTCAATTTTCCATCAAATTTCGTACTTTTTGTTTTATTACCTTCAGAAAAAGATTCTCTACCATTTCATAAGAAAAAAAAAAAAAATTTAAATTCTTGGACACTGGTGCACCCTTTGAAATTTGGCCTCTGGACCCTGAAAGGGTTAAAATCACATCAGTGATGCAAGTGCTAGGCAACTCCATGAACACTGTGCATTCCACTCTTACAGTAACTTAGCCTCAAAATCATGCAGTTATTTTGATATTAGCAATAACAAGTATTCCACTCAATACAACCCTAATTTGCAGGTAATTAGGTTTCTGCCGCATGCATTAAAAACATTATTAAATACTTCTCTATATACTCACACTGTGTGCTTAGATTAATACATACCATATTCACACTTGTTTTTTTTGATAGTGATGAAGATTCAGTCCAAAAAATCTTTAGCTATTTATCACTACTAGAACTGTAAATCTTTCTATGTGTTTGAATATTTCATCTAATCTTGCATCGAATATTACGTTGCACTTTATGTGAAGCATTAAATCTGTGTGGGGTTACTCGGCATAGTAGTAGTAGATGACTCAATCAGCATGCTTATCACAAGAAATGTAAAAACTAAACTCACCTTTCACTGAAAGCAAAAAACAGCATTCCAGACTTCAGACATTCTTGATATCATTCATTTATGTATGTGTGTGTGTATTTTTGGGGAGCTTGGAAACAAATGATATTATTACTATTATTATTATTATTATTATAATCAAAAAGAAGCACTAAACCACTGAAGCATATGATAATGAATGTGATTTCCTTTTTTTTTTTCCTGCCATAGTGGGAAATGGCTAGTGTGTTAAAAAGTTTCTAAGGAATGTTTTAATAAACTGATTACTGATCCCTGTCCTATCAACCAACTCAAGCAGCAGAGTTATTTTTATTGTAACATCAACAAAACTTCCTGCTACATAGTGTAAATTTAGTAATGACTACATGTTAAGGTACTCGTATTTGCTGAACATTCTTCAATACTCGCCTGTGACACACAACAAAATAATAAACATAGATAATAACAAATTTTCTCTACCCAAGTGAATTCTAATGTAATTTTAATACATGTATATAAAAACTTTATTCTTACAATGTAGGTATTGTACTGGAATTTAACTCAAATACAGCACAATAAATTGGTATTAACAATTCTAAGTAATAAATGCTTAATACATAAACATGCATTTCTATTGGGAATGTTCATGACATACTGAGGGGCTGTAAAAAAGGAATATATTAATCCCAGCGCTCTTCTTGATCTGAGGAGAGAAATATTTCCAACATAAACTGTGAAATACTTTGCATGGCGTGAAGAACAATAGCCAACACTATACTTAGTGACAGCTGTACATATTTTATTTCTACCAGTTCTTGTGAGGGAGTATCATTGTGTGAGAGCAAGGAATCATCCGAAAGAGACTGCTCACCAGATCCTGCATCTTGACATGCTGGGGTTTCAACTAATGTAGAAGGATCACCACTTGCAACTGAATCCATTGGGGATGAGCCCAAGTTACTTAATGACTCTGGCTTTTCATGGCATTCTTCTAAAGCCACTGCCTCAACCACATTCTCAGGAATTAGTTGTTGCATTTCTAAATCTGCTGATGGACTGTCCTCTGGCAGTCTTGATATACCTAAAATTTCAGATGATATGCTTAAATAGTCTGGAGTATCATCACCAGGATTCTTTGGTAATGGAGTATCATTCAATGCATGAATGAGGTTTGTCAACTCAGAACAGATACTATAGTATTCAGTAGTATCATCTGCCACAGTCTGAGGGGTAGCAAGCTCTGAAACAGCAGGAGTTGTAAAGTTAGAAGGTAAACTATTACATGTAGAATTACACTTTTCTGTTAAAGGATCCTTTTGAATATCAGACTGAGGTGAAGTTATGCTAGTTGATAGCTTTTCACCATTTGTTGAACAATCATCATTACAAGCTGAATTTACTGATACTGTAGTTTCTGTCTCATAACCAGTATCAGTGGAAAATGTGCTGGTAATCATGCTAGAATCCATTTCATCAAAAGACAAAGGAGTACTAACCGGCTTATTAGCTTGTGCTTTGACTGATATAGGCACTTCCACTACTGATGCTAATGCTAATACACCAGTGGCTTTAGTTGGCGAAACTTTGAAGTCTTGTAACACTTGAGGCAAAGAACGACTCTGAGAACGGGAAACTACAGGGAGAAAATCATCTACTGCCCAAACATCATCATCTAGACTCCTAAATCTGCTCTCTTCACTTCTTGGATTCTCCTTTTCACATGCTGTTACTGGAAGAGATTTTTGCTGTCTTGGAAGAGCTTCCCTCATACTAGCCAATTTAAATTTCTTTGGTGATCTATGTTTTAGTTTAGGAGAGATTTTTTTCTTTGGTGAATGAACTGTGTTGAAAGACTGAACTTTTGGTCTGACAGAAACCAAAGAAGGGTCACTTTCTTTGTCACTGCTGGGAGACATGAGAATTTTATCATGAAGATCTGAGGGACACTGGTTTCCATCCACACACACAGCAAATTTTTTGTTAACATCTATTGATTCTGGAGCAAGCTCACCTAAAATATCCAGATTTTTCATTTTGATATCATCACACACACCTAAAATTTCATCTACATGTACACCATATGGCTTTGCATCTTTGACAACGTTTAGATTTTCCTCTTCATCAGGCTTCATTTCTTCCAGAGTTTTTCCAAGATCATCTTCACCACATTTGCTAATATTTGTACAAGGATCTACACAACATATGTCTTGCTTTTTATTAATAGCTTCAATATCTGCACTTGGGTCAACTGTCAAAAGGCTTGTAGTATAAGGAGAAGGAAAAACTTCTTTATAACTGGCAGATATATCACTTAAACCTATTTCTTGCTGGCGAGCAGAACTTAGAGATAGACAATCAACATCTTGCAGACACTCGGGGTCAGAATAACATAGAGCTACACGCAGTGATTGTGGACGTCTGCGTGGCCAAGAAGCTGGTTGATTATTGGGACACTTAGTCTGATTCGTGAGTGTTACTAAAGAATTACTTTTGCAGGAATTGAAAGTCTCAGGAGGCACAGTGTTATTGACGGACACTTGGCAGTTGATGAAGGGCACTGACCCTACATCTGGATAGAGATTTGGACTAAAAGATAATGGAACTACTTGACAAGCACTGTCTAAGTCATTACATAGTATCATTGTCTCTCTTGTTAAAGCTGTTGATGATGCAAATGAGTTACTACCACTGAGTTTTGTATTTTGTCCACAGCCTAATGATACAGAGTGAGACTTTGTATCACTATCAAATTCTACCAGAGAGTTTACAGCACCTGAGTAATCATATGAACTAAAGCTTTTCATGATTGGAAATGGTAAGACTTTGTTGTAAGAAATTTCCTTTTTTATAACAAAGTCTAAATCATTTGTTATCCTCTCACTTTCTTCACATACTTGAGAAGACTTACATACCAAAGGTTTCAGCGCCTCACACGAGTCTGTTAACTCCACTGATGATGTGACTGCTTGATTTGAATTCATTATTCCCTCCAGAGGTGGGGAAGGTTCAAATGAATTATAACTCTTATTTGGTAACTTCTTTTTAGCTGTTAACAAACTGTCTTTCTCAGGAACACTAGACACTTCACTCTGAGTAGTAATAACACCTGCAGGTCTTATACAAGACAGTATTCCAATGACACCAACCTCTTCATTACTGACTGATCCTGCAAGAGTAATATCCGACATTCTCCTATTATCATATACTCTATCTTCATCAATTTCTGCCTCAGGACAATGTTCTAAACATGGTACATTTTCATCATCTAAGAGAGCACTTCCCTCACATGAAAAATTAAAACAGCCACTCCATGGCCACTTGATAGCACTGATTTCCTGCTGATTTTCATCATCCCCTATGTCCGACATTTGGCTCGCATAAATATTTACCCTTCCTACCCCCCCAGAGAAGCAGCCAGCAGGCACACAGCTAGCTGACTGGGAGGGTATTCCTCAGGTAATATATGATTGCGATGATAATATAGCCTGCACATCATCATTTGTTTGATCAGATTCCCCGATGCCACTGTACTGGGTAGGGGCAAGTGTCTCCACAGATACATACACCTGTAGAATATAAATAGCACAGTATTAATATTTTGAAAAAAAAAAAAAAATCTTATCTGAAACAAAAAGATGAAAATCCTCCTTCCACACCACACAGAAAAGACTAACAAATGATACGATTATCAGGTTATGACTTGGGTGGAGGCACGAATCATAAAAGTGTGACTATGCCTTCTAGTGAAATCATTATTAGTAAACCTCTGAATACACAAATTTCTGGTAATATACCAACTCCCATTCTTTTCACACAAACTTTTATATATACAGTAGCTATGTAAGTAGCACACATCTACTTTGTTTTTATGACAGAAAAATAAACTTGCAATAATATAAACATTCTGTCTGACACTTAACCCTTTCAGGGTCCAGAGGCCAAATTTCAAAGGGTGCACCAGTGTCCAAAAATTTTCAAAAAATAATTTTGTTATTTTTTCTTATGAAATGGTAGAGAATCTTTTTCTGAAGGTAATAAAACAAGAAGTACGAAATTTGATGGAAAATTGACGAAATTACGCTCTCAAAAATTTTGATGTGTCAGCGATATTTACGCATCGGCAATTCTGCGGAATTTGACTCCCATTTTAGGCCAATTACATTATTCCAGTCGACCAAATTCTTAGCTATTTCACTAGTATTACTTCTATTCTATTGATTGAGCACAAGAATTCGCCAAGTCAACTGTTTCAACTACAAAATAAAGTGATCGGAAATCGGTAATTTGGCCAATTTAATGCAAAGTTCAAAATACTCCAATTTCAAAATAGGGTTGGGGATTTTCTTTCTTTTTTGGGTCACTCTGCCTCGGTGGGAGATGACCGACTTGTTGAAAAAAAAAAAAATACGTCTTACGCACCACTGTTTCTGAAGTATCTATACGCATAAATTCTAGCGGCTTCAAATCAAGCAGGAGAAAGCTGGTAGGCCCACATGTGAGGAAATGGGTCTCCTGGTCAGTGTGCACATTATAAAAAATTTCAGGGAGCCAGTGTGGCTTGTGGAGAATGCTATTTATGTTGTCTTTTTCAGCATGCCTAGCAGTAAAAATATGTGATTCCCAGCAAATCTGGGCTCTTCTCTTCCCAAGTGATGCTCTAACACAGATGGAAGTGTCAGTTTAAGATCAAATCATGGTTTGAGGAGTTTGAGACCAAAAGGCAATGCCCAGGATACCAGAAGAATGGAGAGGGGGGAGGAGGGGAGGAGGAGGAGGAGGAGGAGGAGGAGAGAGAGGAGAGGAAGGAGGGGGAGAGGAGGAGAAGGAGGAGGGGAGGAGGAGGGAGGAGAGGGAGGAGGGAGGAGAGGAAGAGGAGGAGGAAGGGAGGAGGAAGAGGAAGGAGGAGGAGGAGGAGGAGGAAGGAGGGAGGAAGGAGGAGGAGGAGAGGAGGAGGAGGAAGGAGGAGGAGGAGGAAGGAGGAGGAGGGAAGGAGGAGGAGGAGGAGGAGGAGGGAGGAGGAGGAGGAGGAGGAAGGGAGGAGGAGGAGGAGAGGAGAGGAGGAGGAAGAAGGAGGAGGAGGAAGGAGGAGGGAGGAGGAGGAGAGGAGGGAGGAGGGAGGGAGGAAGGAAGGAGGAGAGGAAGGAGGAGGAGGAAGGAGGAGAAGGAGGAGGAGGAGGGAGGAGAGGAGGAGGATGAGGGAGGAGGAGAGGGAGGAGGGGAGGGAGGAGGAGGAGGAGGAGGAGGAGGAGGGGAGGAAGGAGGAGGAGGGGAGGCAGGGAGGAGGAGGTGGAGGAAGGAGGAGGAGGAAGGAGGGGAGGAGGAGGAAGGAGGAGGAGGAAGGAGGAGGGAGGAGGGAGGAGGAGGAAGGAGGAAGGAGGAGGAAGGAGGAGGAAGGAAGAAGAAGATGTTCCCTTGAAGCATGGAAAACAGTTCACCCCATGACAATGACAAGATAAGGGTAGATAACATCTGATAAGAGCTGACGTTTGATGAGCATAAACGAGGGTGGAGGGAGGGAGCAGCTGATAAGGAAAGATTAGATGACAATCCCCCTCGCTTTATTTTTGCTGGTATACAAACATTTATGTCTGTCTGCCAAGCTCCCTGTCTATCCGTCTAGCTCTCTGTCTCAGAGAGAGCCACAAGACTGTCATCACCTTTACTCACATCTTCAAGCTGAGTTTGGCACTTTGTCTGGATTTTTTGGGTTATCCTAGGTAATTTACAATATGTATACTTGTATTTATGTGTAGGAGGAGGAGGTGAAGGGAGGAGGAGGAAGGAGGAGGAGGAAGGAGGAGGAGGGAGGAGGAGGAAGAAGGAGGAGGGAGGAGGAGGAGGGGGAGGAAGAGGAAGAGGAGGAAGGAGGAAGGAAGAAGACGACGATGACAAAGAAGACGAAGATGATGACGACAACGACGACGACGACGACGACGACGACGACGAAGATGATGATGATGTTGTTCCCTTGAAGCATGGAAAACAGTTCACCCCATGACAGTGACAAGATAAGGGGAGATAACATCTGATAAGAGCTGACGTTTGATAAGCGTAAATGAGGGTGGAGGGAGGGGGCAGCTGATAAGGAAAGATTAGATGACCATCCCCCTTGCTTTGTTTTTGCTGGTACACAAACATTTCTGTCTGTCCATTTGTCTGTCAGCCAAGCTCCCTGTCTATCCATCTAGCTCTCTGTCTCAGAGAGAGCCACAAGACTGCATCATCACGTTTACTCACATCTTCAAGCAGGGTATAGCACTTTGTCTGGATTTCTTGGGTTATCCTTTGTAATTTACACCATGTATACTTGTATTTATGTGAACCTGTGAGACAGAGATAGAGAGACAGATTGAAAGAGATAGAATGAGGGAGAAATATAATTAGATAGAATGGAGGGGAAGCAGCATCCGACCCCACTGTTTTGACAGGCAGGAGGGGGAGTGAGTAATGAGATAATATGTCATTTTGACAGCTGCCGACCCCTGACTCAAAACAATTATAAGCCACACACTGGCACACAAGAAAAGCTTGCTGAATGGAGATAATAGCAGTTATATGAAAGTATCTAGTGACTATATATGTATATATATACAGTGGACCCCCGCATAACGATTTTAATCCGTGCAAGAGGGGTAATTGTTATGCGAAATAATCGGTATGCGAATGAATTTTCCCCATAAGAAATAATGGAAATCAAATTAATCCGTGCAAGACACCCAAAAGTATGAAAAAAAAAATTTTACCACATGAAATATACATTTTCCCACACACAAAGAGAAGGATACATGCACAATAGTAGAGTAGTACATGCACAGTATATATTGTGCATGTACTAGTCTACTAAATGAAGAATAAATGACACTTACCTTTATTGAAGATGCAGCAATGACTGATGAGACACTGTGTCCTGGGAGTGCCTTTTTCCTCCTGAGTAATGTAGGTCCTGTTTGGCATTTTCTTCCAGAACAGGCCTTATCACACTGTGTATGCCACTACGATTCTTAAATCTCTCAAACCAACCTTTGCTGGCTTTAAATTCACCAATATGAGCACTAGTTCCAGGCATTTTTCCCTGTTCACCTGGGTGTTAGTCGACTTGTGTGGGTTGCATCCTGGGAGACAAGATTAAGGACCCCAATGGAAATAAGTTAGACAGTCTTCGATGACACTGACTTTTTTGGGTTATCCTGGGTGGCAAATCCTCTGGGGTTAATTGTTCTTTGGTATTCTCAATAAGCCACACCAACAACGGTGCTACAGCAGCAGCAGCAGCAGCTGACGGTGGTACAGCAGCAACAGACGATGCTACAGCAGCAGCAGACGATGCTACAGCAGCAGCAGACGATGCTACAGCGAACAGACGTGTTACAGCAGCAGCAGACGATGCTACAGCAGCAGCAGCAGCTGACGGTGGTACAGCAGCAACAGACGATGCTACAGCAGCAACAGACGATGCTACAGCAGCAACAGACGATGTTACAGCAGCAGCAGACGATGCTACAGCAGCAGCAGCAGCTGACGGTGGTACAGCAGCAACAGACGATGCTACAGCAGCAACAGACGATGTTACAGCAGCAGCAGACGATGCTACAGCAGCAACAGACGATGTTACAGCAGCAGCAGACGATGCTACAGCAGCAGCAGCAGCTGACGGTGGTACAGCAGCAACAGACGATGCTACAGCAGCAACAGACGATGTTACAGCAGCAGCAGACGATGCTACAGCAGCAGCAGCAGCTGACAGTGCAGCAGCAGCAGCAGCTGTACCACCAATAGTAGCGATGGTTGATTGGGGTTTATTATACAACCTGGCCAGCTCGGAGACACGCACTCCACTTTCATACTTATCAATGATCTTTTTCTTCATCTCTATTGTAATTCTCACCCTTATTGCTGTAGGATTGGCACTAGAAGCTTTCTTGGGGCCCATGGTCACTTATTTTCCAGAAAAAGCACCGAAAACACTGTAATAATACGAAATATTCCGATTGTATGCTTGGATGTTACCGCGGAGGCTGGCTGGTAAACAATGCCACCGGCGGAACATGTGAGCGTGGCTCAGGCCGCACATTGGACGCGTCTCGGACGAAAATCGGTGAGCGGGTTTTTAAGCGGTATGTGAGGCAAAATTTTTGCGATTAAAACAAGCGGTATGCGGATTAATCGCTATGTGATGCCATCGTTATGCGGGGGTCCACTGTATTTAGAAACCAGAAGCAAGAAGGCAGGAATGAAGGAAGGACAGATGAAGGAATGTAGGAAGAGAGGTAGGAAAGGAATGCAGGAAAGTAGGAAGGAAGGAATGATGACACACGACCATTTACCTAGGATAACTACATAACACAACTGCCTGCTAATACTTTGAAGAAAACTGCTCAGACAAGGTCTTTTGTCTTTGCACATAAAAAAAAAAAGTCCACAAAAATGCACACACACTCGTTTTATGTGTGAGTGTAAAACACCATTGTGTATGAAAACATGTTTCACAGAGTTCCACAAGCTAGGAATATGTTCGGTGACTGTACATTGGTATATATATTATAGAACAATAGTAATAAAAATTTTT